AAAAAACTACTTAAACTAGCTTTTTCAATCCGTTAGCGGTTTGGATCCTAACCGCTATTCGCTAATTTCAAATTGCTAAATTAAAATTTTTACCAAATACCTTGTTTATAACAGTTTCGAAATATATAAGTTAACCAAACACCTATGCTTAACAGTTTAAACAAAACCACTAACCATTACTTTAAAACCATTATACCAAATGGGGGCCATAGGTAAAGTGTAGGGTTTAAATTTTGAGGTCACTACTTTAAAAAATTAATTTTGTTTATTGCTATAAATCAATATATTAAATTTACTTTTAAAATTATTTTAAAAAATTAATTTTAAATATGCTAAACTTGAGTATGAGATACCTCTCAATAACTAAAAATAAATAAATAGAGAAACAATTGTATGACGTTAACTAAGGGCCAAAACCCCTATTTTCACCCTCCACTTAATTTCTTTCTACGGTCAATACCTTAAAGTAATTTTTGTAACACTCTCTACTTTTCTAAACTCATGAAAAACCCAATATCTTAATGGCAGATCACGTGTCGGTCATGTGACCATTAATAACCGTTAAAAAGTGCAATACATGGCACCTAGGGAGTGATGTGGATATTATGTGGTATTATAAATCCAATGTGGAGATGTTTTTGATGAGGTGGCATTATTTTTGTACATATGGACACCACATGTGCAATGGGGACCACCTATTGATGGGCCTTCTCTCGCTTGTCCCTGCGTCTAAACCAAAAAAAAAAAAAAAAGAAAAAACCTAAAATAGGGAACTTAAAGATCTACAGTAGCCCCTTTTTGTGGATTTAGGGCTTGGCTTCTTTCACTTTTCAATCTTCCCCAATCTTCCTTTTTCACTTTCTTTTCATGAACCCTACCACAATTTTCTGGTAAAAATCGGTATTGAAGAAACTAAGAGGAAAATCACAAAGCAATGAAGGGTTAGAGAAAGGAGTTTATGTCTTTGAACACCAAAAGCTTATGAATAGAATGGCTCCATGCCTAGTGTAAGACCAAAGAGAACAAAGTACCCTATAATGTTGGCAAAGGCAATAGCTAGTGAACCAGCTGCCAATTCAATGTCGCCAAGGCAGCCGAGGAAAAGCATAGAGATGATGGAGCAAGAATAGAGAATGAGAGCTAATAAGCCTATAGGGAAGGCAAGGCTAAAGAGTGATTTTGCCTCTATGACAATCTCAGAAATGGAGGGCCATAGTTATTGAGGCTACTACTCATGTGGGTTACTTTCAAGGTCTTTATTAGAGTTGGGTGGTGATGATGAAAGATTAAAAAACACGTGGTTTTGTGGCTACGGCTTCTCGATTGCGGCGGCTATGGTGGGATGAAGAGCAGTGATGCTTTGATTACACATGAGGACAATGATGGTGATGAAGAAGAGAGATAAATCTTTATGTTCCTTGTTTTATTTTTTTATTTTTTTGGTTTCGATGTGGGGACAAATGGGAAAAGGCCCACCAACAAGTGGTCCCTACTCTACATGTGGTGTCCCCGTGTGCAAAAATAATGCCACCTCATCAAAAAAATCTCCATGTTGGATTTATAATGCCACATAATGCCCACATCACTCTCTGGGTGCCACATATTGCACTTTGTAATGGTTATTAACGTTCATATGACCAGCACATGGTCTATCGTTAAGATATTGAGTTTTTCACGGGTTTAGAAAAGTAAAGAGTGTTGACCGGAACAAAAATTACTTTAAGGGTTGACCGTAGAAAGAAATTAGGTGGAGAGTGCAAATAGAGGTTTTGGCCATTAATTAAGTGGAGGGTGTTAAAACTCAAAAGAAAGAGAAAAGGATTAATGCTAACTATCGTCCCTCTACTATTAAGAAAATTCAATTTAAACCTTCTAGTATCAATTCACCTCATATCCCTCTACTATTATTTAACTTCACATATCCTCCCTTACTATTGAAAAATACATCAATGTCATCCCTTCATGCATTTTAGGAGTAATATTTTGTTTGTTGACTATTACCCTACAAACAATCAGATGTTTAGGCCTTTTTTTACTTTTATTTGTTTTTTGTCCAATTGTGCATTAGTGTCCCCACCTGTGACCATTTATATAGTGTACATAAAAAAAACCCCAAATTTCTTTTTGCCTATTTAAACTTCATATAAATTTAAATTAATTAAAATAGTTAATTAAATTAATTAAAATTAATCAATTTAAATGGTCAAAGTCAACAAAGTTACCCCATTAAAAATTTTATATTGAGTCTGTTGGGCTTAAAAGGGAGAACATGAGGCGAATTGATAGTAGAAGGTTTAAATTGAACTTTTCTCAATGGTAGAGGGATGACAATTGGCATTAATTGAAAGAAAAAAGGCTAAATTTAATAAATAGTTTATTAATTATATGATTTATTTCAATTTAGTTTAGAAATTTTTTTCTTTCAAAATGATTTATAAACTATCAATTTTGTTTCAAAATGATCTACTTGACAAACATTCCGTTAACTAAACTAATGGAATATTTGTTTAGACAAGTTGGTGTAAACAAGTTGACCCCTAAACTCTTGAAAAATGTTAAATACAATACATATATTTTACAACATTTTGTTTTTAAGTTCAAATTGTTTGTTAAATGTAATAATTAACTAAGATGAAATTTCATTATATATTAATTAAGATTCTAATTTTAATTTACAATAATCAATAT